TAGTTCATTTACGTCGCACTAGAGCTGCACAATGGGCTATTGGCGACGGTCTGGGAAACATCCCTGAGGATGATCCGAAGACATGCCAACACAATTTTGATCATCTGCGGAGGGGATGGCACTCCCGCTTCGGTAGTCCAACGACCTGCACGCGAAGTCGAGCACTTTATGGTTGCACAGTTTAACGAGGACCAATACCGCACACCCTCGGTCCCTACGCACACTGACCGCAGCCAGTGATGCTTGACTTCGGTGATCTGCTGGGAACCGTGTCTTAACGATCAGTCCACTGCGGGACCCAGAAATTCGAGCATGTGAATTTGGAGATGTGATTAATGGAGCATTCTCACTGTATGCGATTCGTATTCGCTATCGCAATGCTCGAATACGCCATCTGGGAAGAAGACTGGTTCCATGTCTTAGCAATCGTCCCTTCCCTATCCTTTTCTTCTCAGTTGTATAGGAATGTACTATGATATTTCCCCCCTTTCCTAATATTTATCGTATTTGATTGTAAAAAACAAATTTTTAAAATTTCTACGACGTTTTCTCTTAGAACTATATTCAATGTAGTTTTCAGCTCCATATATATCCACAAAGTTTTTAATCTATTTGAAAATCAAGACAGAAACTGACGTCCTTCCTTCTTCTGACTTCCCAGCTGCTAATGGCGAAAGCACGCAAACTGTTGCCATGGATAGAGAGTTATGTTGTGCGTCACCGGTAGCCCATGCTATCACATGTCAATGCGAATCTAGCACACACAGGTGGTTCATTTTACATACAGTTTCAAAACATTTGCAGGCATGTCTGTGGTAATCGGATGCCACAGACACGCTTGCAAGGTATTAAGTTGTACGCTAAAACTGTGGTTTTACTTTTACATTAAAAAAAAAAAGAGTAATAGTAGCAGTATAATGTCGCTCTAGTGCTGTCCAATGAGCTGTTTGCGATGATCTGGGAATCGTCACTGAAAATGATCAGAAAACACAATATCACAATTTGATCCACTGAAAGATCCCCGCTCCGCTTTCGCAACCCGACAATCTATACGGAAACGAAGTTTTACCCAATGGACAATAGATAGGAATCGGCCTCGCTACAGACATCCATCCATCAAAAAACTTTACAAAGGAGGTTCTCCTTCGCATGGATTAGAAAATATATTTTACTAAATAGCTTCTCAGTTATATGCGATTTTCTCATGTACGATTCCTCGAATTTCCTTCTCATTGAGCATTTTCACATCATGCAATATGCTGTATGCGATATATTGCACTTGAATGCGATTCGCGCATGCTCGAATGGTTCATGTTACACGTTGTTTTTAAACAGTTGCATGTTCATCTAGGGTAACTGGGGGCAGTTTGAATGGCCCCTTATAATAAAAGGCAAGAAAAAATTGTACGGATTCTAGGAATGAGTTTTGGTGAAAAAAGCAAAAAATGGTAAATGTGTATAAAGATATGTAATAATTGCCATCTATAAAAAAAGGCATTTTTTCTGATTTATTTTTTGCGTTGATTTCTTTTTAAAATTTCCAGATGATGGTTAATATTAGTTTGGAGATATTCTGGTATCGGTACCTGTTCCCACCTACAATCTCCAAGGCACCAAAGAAATTTCAAATTTAGAAAATTTGAAGTGGGTCTTCTCCCGTAAGTCCTCAAAGGTTAATAGTAATTTTAGTGCAATTAACAGTAGGAAAATTTTCACAATACTTTACAAATACAAACAATCTACACAATAGTAGGGGTGGTTTCGAAAAAGTACGTAAATCTGCACAATAAAGTAAATACGATGTTTAATTTGTTCCTATTTATGCTTCAGATCCTTCTATCCAGACAAATGATTATTGTTTTGTCTATATTTTTCACGCTGAATAAAATAAAGCCTAAGACGATTTGATTGAATTTTATAGTTCAGAATTGATGTATAAAAAGTACTAATTTTGATTTGTACCTCTGACGTTGTTATCCATTGACCATGTTGACAAGTATTGTATTGCTTTCGGTGTATTTTTTATGCTGAATCAGAAAAGATTCAAGTTAACAGAAAAAATAGTTTAGAAGTATGAATAAGCACCAGTTAAAAAGAATTATACACAAAAACGGTTTGTAAAAGACAAGAGAAACGGGAGATTTTTACGTACACAGTTCAGTCACAATGAT